TAAACTTCATGCCAAAGTTCTAGAGGACTTTTCTCAGTTGTGGAATATCCATTTTTTATAGTAGAGATATTATTCAAAAGTGTCTATTGTTGCTATTTCTATGTTGTCTGGTGGTGGTTGATTTTTATTAAAGTATATTTTTGGTAAGGACTAGAAGACTGAGTTATATTGTTAGTAAGTCCTTAGTGGCAGGGAAATGAAAAAGAAGTTTTTTGTATAAACAAAGGCAACAAAAGGGGTAGTATGAATTGATGTCTTACAGTTTACTTGTAATGATTCATTTTTTAATCAGAATTAGCAGTATTTTAAGAACTTTGCTATCTCTTAGTATAGATAAAGGATGGAGGAAGAAAGTTCTTTCTGGGTAATAATGAGAGTAGTTCATAGATGGCTGAGCTTTTTGTAAAATTAGGGAAAGTACCAACTGGGTCAGGTAGCCTTTGCGTCATTTTTTAATATATGAGTATATGATGGTATAGAGGCTTTCCTGAATCGTTTTTTGATATAGGAATATACTTATTATGGCAGTAGGCTTTGAGTCCTGTGGCTGACATAATCTTGAGGAAAAGTCAATAATGTCTTGCTGAGGTGAATTGAAGGAGAATTCAGGCATTTTTCTCTTCAGTTCTTTTGTCTGTAAGGAAGATTAAAACAGAAAGTTTGTCACATTTTTTTCTTACTAATTATCTGAACCTCAAAAGAACACTTTCGTACTAGCAATAGGTGTACATTTAATTGATAATTGAATATTTTAGTTTTGGTATTCTGTAAAAGCTATTAGGTGAATTCTCTGCCATTACTGTATCCCCTTAGACAGTGCCTTAAAAAATTCTGTATGTAGATACAAGAGATGTCTCTTAATTCCACAAAGCAAATAATTTCCAACCTTTTATTTTAATATTTATGGTGAATATAATATTGTCAGGTTTTTTTCACTTTTCCATAGTGAAAGTAGTTACAGTAAGTAACTTATACTGTTTCATAAGTTCTCAACCAATAAAGCATCTTTTTATTTTATAATAATCTTAGGCCTCAATGGGTTGTTCCTGTTTTGCCAAAGGAGGAATTAGAAGTGCTTTTAGAAGCTGCTATTGGTCTTAGTAAAAAAGGTGAGTTTAGATGTTATGTTTTCCATAATGCTTGCTACTATATATGCTTAAACATTTTTTTGAAGGTTTGCTTTCTCCGTTATAAAGTTATTTATTTCTAGTTTACAATATTATGTATATATACATACACAAAGGGATTCAGATATATAAATATATATTTTGAAGTGTTTAGATATACTTTTAAATTTTATGCAGAATATATATTTATATTCATATTTTTATGGGGATTTATTGTTTCATCATATTTTTAATGGGGTTATTCAAAAGTTAGAAAATGTTTTTCAGAGTATAATACATTTATGAAGTCTATTATGTGAAGGAATGTGCATTAAAACATTTTACAATTTAAAAGTGCCCCTATTCAGCACTTTTAAATTGTAAAATGTTTTAATGCACATTCCTTCACATATGTATATTTAGTGACTATTTTGCTCTTAAGCCATTTGTAAGTGAGAAATATATTAATTTTCAAATAATTTCAGCAAAAATTATTTGGACTTGTCATTTGACAGACATGCTGAAGTGCTAGTGAATTAGAGGACTTGTGCCCCATCTATGTTTTGTTTTGTTTTTAATGAAAATTGCTAGTTCATTAATATTGCATGTGTATATTTAATAAACTGTCTAACTTGCATGTTTGGCTGCTTCTTAACACAGAGAAAAAGGTTTTTATGTTGGAATGGATCACTTTTTGGTGACTTTGTTTTAATATTAGGTGCAATATGATTATTTTAGCAAATGAACAATTTTTGTATTCTTCATTTTTTTAAAGCCTTGAAAGCTAAAAGAAAGGGCAATTACATTTTATTTTCTGTGTCATTCAGCAAAGAAGTGTGGTCATCACATGTCTTTTAAGCATCATTAAACACATTTTTAATGTTTTGGGTATGTAGTAAAGTCAAGTCTGTGTGTTGCTAAGTCTGATTCTGTGGCATGGGTAATAGTTTCATTTAACCAACAATAATTACCCTAAAGGCATTTTATGTTTTATAATCAGTGTTACAAAAATAATCTGGTGACCTATGAAAAGATTTTACCACATTGGAAATGTTTCTCACTACTAAAATTTGTTTTGCNAGCATGGCTCAGCCCACATCTGGACACCTCAGAATTGGAGAAGTTGTTGGTGTTATTCTCATCCTGGGGTCAAAAGCCTGAGCTAGGGGTGCCATTTATGTAAATCTTGGAACCCAAAGGCTGAAGAGTCTTGAGTTCTGATTCCACATACAAGAGTGAAGAATGTTTTCTAGCTCCAGTGGAAATAGAGCAAGTGATTCTCCATTTCCTCCATTTTTTTTTTTTTTTTTCTCTCCAGGCCTCTTCTTATTTGGATGGTGCCCTCCTATACTGAGAGCAGATCTTTAACATTCCATCCACTCAAACTTACATGCTAATCTCTTCTGGAAACACCCTCATAGACACACCCCAAAATAATGCTTTAGCAGATTTCTATGTATTCCTTAATCTAGTCAAGGTGACACCTAAAACTAACTATCACAGCTTTCTTCACTATTTTTTATTCATTTTTCTTTTTGATCCTCAACTCAATAATTTCAAATGACCTGTCTTCATGTTCACTGATTCTTTCTTCTGCTTGATTGAGTCAGCTACTTAAGTTTTCTATTGGATTTTTCAGTTCAGACATTGTATTCTTCAGCTCCAGAGTTTCTTCTTGATCCTTTTTATTGGTTTCTATCTCTCTGTTGAATATTTAACCAACAATAATTACCCTAAAGGCATTTTATGTTTTATAATCAGTGTTACAAAAATAATCTAGTGACCTATGAAAAGATTTTACCACATTGGAAATGTTTCTCACTACTAAAATTTGTTTTGCTAACTTGTGCATTTATTCATTAATTCTGCAAATATAAAGACTTCTGTAGTAGGCATGTGATAGGTCTTAACAGTGCCAAATGAACAAAATCTGTGATATTTTTTTTAATAGCAATTCTGTTCAGTAGGTGTATGAGGGTACTTCAAAAAGTTCATAGAAAAATTTGTATTATCTTTTAAATCTATTTTTCCACAAACTTTCTGAAGTGTACCCTTGTACATATCATTTTCAAGGGCTTCCTCCTTTATTTTTTCTGGCATCATGGTTACAGTGAGGCCAAATTTAAGTTTTTAAAGGAAATTCCTGGGGTTTAAATGATGTACCAATATGTTTATAATCAAAATAAAAATATACTTATTGTGCAAATTTAGTGCTTTTTGAGTTTCATTTAAAAGTTACAAGTTTTCTTTTTGAGTGGAGGCACATGACTCCTTTTCCTGAATCCCACGGTTTTCTACCTTTTTAATCTTTTATAAGGCGGCGTCTCATTTGAAAAGCTAAAATAGGATTTGTGAATTGGAAACCATAACAAGTTCTAATAGTTTATGTTTAATCATGTAATCGGTCAGAGAAATGTTTTCTTTACATTAGGTTAATTTTAATTTTTTTTTTTTTGCATTCTCGCAGGGCTTGATGTTAAAAGTGAAGCGTGTCAACGTTTTTTTCAAGATGGGCTTACAATATCTTTCACTAAAATCCTCATGGATGAGACAATGAGTGGATGGAATTTTGAGATTCATGTGAGTCTTGTATTTGATTTGGGGGACTCACATTTACATGGTGATTCCTGTGGGTTTGTCTTTGGAAAATAATACTATGACTAATACATCAAGTCTGCTGAGACATATATACACACGTGTATATTATAAATACATGTGTGTGTGTGTGTGTGTGTGTGTGTATAAATTGAAGATTGAAGATAGCACAGTCTTTTAGAATGAGCTTGAGATTTTGAGTTACAAAACTTGTTGTAACATCACCTGGATTTTAAGTGCCTTTTAACCTTGTGCGTGATACCATCAAGGATGATAGCAAGGCTGATAGCATTGAGTCTAAGAGTCACCACTATTTTGTACCATTTGAAAAGAAAAATACCTGAGACAGGGAGTATAATACCAGACTCTCAATGTAGCAGCACACCAAAGGGTGTAATTTTAGTGCCAATGTATGATAAAGAATGTTACCATGTGAAAGTGTCAAGCAAGGAAACAAGTTTTAACCTTGGCATTTGCTAGAGAAGATATTCTCTTAGTAGATTTTGACCACAAACTAGTATTCATACCAATTTGTGATATGAATTTGAACTACAGTTTTGATACTCAAAATATCAAAGAATTTAAAGTGTTATCAGATTGGTAATGTCTTCAAGTGACTGTCAAAAGGAAACAGATATTTTCTTACTTTTTAATTTCAAGATGGGCTTACAATATCTTTCACTAAAATCCTCATGGATGAGACAATGAGTGGATGGAATTTTGAGATTCATGTGAGTCTTGTATTTGATTTGGGGGACTCACATTTACATGGTGATTCCTGTGGGTTTGTCTTTGGAAAATAATACTATGACTAATACATCAAGTCTGCTGAGACATATATACACACGTGTATATTATAAATACATGTGTGTGTGTGTGTGTGTGTGTATAAATTGAAGATTGAAGATAGCACAGTCTTTTAGAATGAGCTTGAGATTTTGAGTTACAAAACTTGTTGTAACATCACCTGGATTTTAAGTGCCTTTTAACCTTGTGCTTGATACCATCAAGGATGATAGCAAGGCTGATAGCATTGAGTCTAAGAGTCACCACTATTTTGTACCATTTGAAAAGAAAAATACCTGAGACAGGGAGTATAATACCAGACTCTCAATGTAGCAGCACACCAAAGGGTGTAATTTTAGTGCCAATGTATGATAAAGAATGTTACCATGTGAAAGTGTCAAGCAAGGAAACAAGTTTTAACCTTGGCATTTGCTAGAGAAGATATTCTCTTAGTAGATTTTGACCACAAACTAGTATTCATACCAATTTGTGATATGAATTTGAACTACAGTTTTGATACTCAAAATATCAAAGAATTTAAAGTGTTATCAGATTGGTAATGTCTTCAAGTGACTGTCAAAAGGAAACAGATATTTTCTTACTTTTTAATACCTTCAGTCTAGGACAGAAGTAATGCAAAGTACCATAGATTCTGATACTTTTATATTCCTGAGATTTTTGAAAAGTGAAAAAATACCCCTTTTTAAAAAATAACTGAATTACTCCAAGTAATTAAAAACTGTAATTACTCCAAGTCATTATTCATAACATGTAATTAGTAAGTCCACCGTTTTGTGGACTTCAGCCATTAAACATAACATGGGTATTTTCCACAAATGTTCATGGCATACAAATGCTAACAGCTTCTGAATTGGCATGTAAGTTTTTAGGTGTAGAAATAGAATTTATGAATGCTAATTTTCATGTACCTTGTGGACATAAAGCAGAAATAGACAACCTGTAGTGCCTACTTCATTTGTAATCCTCCAGTAGCTTTTGAAATTAGGTATAAAGTTATGAAATAATAAACACTAATTTCTTTTTATGATTATATCAGTTTGATCACAGTACTACTGAAATTATGCTGAGTTTAGATGACCAACACAGAAAAATGAAGAGAGATGATTTTAAACAAGAATAGAATGTTTCTGTTTGAAATGCAGTGTTTTTTCATTACAAACCATGTCCTTCCTTTCCTCCCCTTTTCATAGAGATGTATCATTAACAATACTCATCGCCTAGTGGAGCTTTGTGTGGCCAAATTGTCTCAAGACTGGTTTCCACTCCTAGAACTTCTTGCCATGGCCTTTAATCCTCATTGCAAATTCCATATCTTCAATGGCACACGTCCATGTGAATCAGTTTCCACAAGTGTTCAGTTGCCTGAAGATGAACTATTTGCTTGTTCTTCAGATCCTCAATCACCAAAAGTGTGTTGGTTTGTTATTTTAAAAATTAAATAGTAAAAAATTTTTTGTATGCAGACTCTTGGTCTGTGAACCATCCCTTAACATAAATATCAGTCAATACATAACCTTGTTTTATGTGGTTTTGTATTTTAAGACGTTATTTAATATGTATTGTTGATTCATTAACATTGAACTCATGGTCAATAGAACTATAATTCATGCCTGAACAAAGCTGATAATGTGTTGCTCAGTTGATAAATACACTTTCTCTAATCTAACACCGTATTTCCCTATGAACAGTCATTCAGTATTTGCTAATACATTGTTCTCAGTGTGTTTAGAGCATATAACTACTACAGATAACAAACATTGATGGTACTTTGCACTGTGTGTGTATATTTTTCAAATTGCAGAAAACTAATTTATTTATAAACCATGTAAACTCAGAGAGGTTACTAATTTGTTTTTGTGACATACCATCCAAAATTTCTTACAATGCACTTAATTCCTTAGGAGAGAATCTTACTGTTGATCAGCATCCATGTCTTGGGTCATATAAATAATCTTTCATTTTATCCTTTTCAAAGGGAAGATAGTCTTGTTTTATACTAGCCAAAATTTTAACTTATTTCAAGGAAACAGTATGCAAATTATATATACTAGCCAAAAGGTATACAGTAGCCAAAATTACCATTTATTTCAAGAGTAGAAGAAAACAGGAACTAATTATACATCAAAAGAGATAAGATAGGGCCGGCCCGGTGGCGCACTGGATAAGTGCGCCGCTTGGGAAGCGTGGCGGCGCTCCCGCCCGAGGGTTCAGATCCCACATGCAGACCGGTTCCCGCTCGCTGGCTGAGCGAGGCGCGGGAGCAGCACTGAGGGTTGCGATCCCGTTGCCGGTCCCCGGTCCGGTACGGGGGCAACACTGAGGGTTGCGATCCGTTGCCGGACACGGAAAAAGACAAAAGACAAAAAAAAAAAAAAAAGAAACTATAAAGAATAAGGCATGATGAAAACCAGAACCCTCCGAAATGAAAAACTGTTGGAAACAGACCTCACTTGGTGAGTTTAACAGCAGATGGGAGAAAATTAGTAAATTCTAAAATGGAGCTGCAGAAATTACCCAGAATGCAGAAAAGTGACAAATGGATAGATTCAAGAAAACAAAAAGTCTTAATATTCCTAAAGTCATTAAAGAAATTATATCAGTAGTTTAAAATTTTTTTAACAGACCAGGATGTGGAAAAGATTCCCAGTTTTGTATAGGTTCACTTTAATGTCTCAGTGGCTTTAATGTCACTTTTGTGGCTTTTTAATGTCTCAAAGTCAATTTGACTATATTAGTAATAATAATTATTATTATATATCTATTTTGGCAGCTGGCCAGTATGAGAATCTGAACGCTTGACCTTGATGTTACAACACGATGCTCTAGCCAACTGAGTTAACAAGCCAGCCCTAATTTTAATTAATATTTATTTTTACTTAAAATGTTGAATCTATATTTTCTTCATATATCCAATGTAAATTAGTATTTAAACATAAGAAAAGAGTTAACAGCAATAGAAACAAAGCAGAACACACTTTGCTCATATGCACATGCAAACACACACACACACATACTCTCTCTCTCTCTCTCTCTCTCTCTCTCTCTCTCCAGAAAAGAAGACAAAATGATACAGAATCCTCTTAAAGTAATATGGAATTTCTGTGAATATAAGTAATTTACTTTTTTCTTTCCAATTTGGATGTCTCTCATTTCTTCTCCTTGTATAATTTTCATTGAGAGGACTTCCAGCATTATATGGAAGAGAAGTGATGAAAGCAGGCATGCTTGCTTGTTCCTCCTCTTAGAGAAAAAGATGTCAGTCTTTCGCTGTTCAATGTGATGTTATCTGTGGGCTTTTTTATAGATGATATTTATTATGTTGTAGTTTCTTTCTATTCCTTGTTTGCTGAGTGGTTTTCTTTTTTTTAATCAGTGGGGTTGAATTTTGTCAAATGATTTTTCTTTTTTTTGTCCTTTTTGTCTTTTTTCGTGACCGGCAACGGATCGTAACCCTCAGTGTTGCGCCCGCACCTCGCTCAGCCAGTGAGCCGCCGGTCTGTATGTGGGATCCGAACCCTCGGCAGGAGCGCTGCTGCGCTCCCAAGCGGCGCACTGTAGCAGTGCGCCACCGGGCCGGCCCTTGTCAAATGATTTTTCTACATCAGTGGAAATGGTGTGGTTTTTTTCTTCATTCTGTTGATGGGGTGTATCACACTGATTGGTATTTGTATGTTGAAGTATTTTTACATTCCAGGAAAAAAAACCTCACTTGGTCACATGTATGATCCTTTCAGTATACTTTGAATTTTGTTTCTTGTATACTGCTGAGAATATTGCATCAGTATTCATAATTGGAATTAAGTCATAGTTTTCTTGTAGTGTCTTTATCTGGCTTTGTTATCAGCTTAACACTGGCCTTATAGAATGAGTTTGGGAATATTTACTTCTCTTCAGTTTTTTTGAAGAGTACATTATGAGTAGGATTGGTGTTAATTCTTTAAATGTTTGGTACAATTTTGTAGTGAGCCATCTGGTCCTGGGCTTTACTTTGCTGATAGGTTTTTGATTATTGATTAGGTCTCCTTGCTAGTTACAGGCCTATTCAGATTTCCTATTTCTTCGTGACTCAGTCTTGGTGTAGTCTGTGTTTCTAAAATTTGTCCTTTCATTTAGTTTATTCAGTTGGTTGAGATACAGTGGTTCACAATGTATTCCCTAATAATTTTTTTAAATTGTCAAACATATAGTAAAGCACTTTTTATTTCTGGTTTACTTGAGTTTCCTCTCTTTTTCTTAGTCAGTCTAGCTAAACATTTGGCAGTTTGCTTATTATTTCACAAACCAAATTTTGGTTTCATTGGTTTTTCTCTATTATCCTATTCTTTATTTTGTTTATTTCTGTGCTTAATTGTGTTCTTCTGCTAGCTTTGGGTTTAGTTATTTCATATCTAGTTCCTAAAGAGTAAAGTTAGGTTGTTTATTTGAGATCTTTTTTGAAAAAAATAGAAGTGTTTATAACTATATATTTTCCTCTTGTCACTACATTTGCTGCATTCCATAAATTTGAGTATATTCTGTTTTTATTTTATATTCTAATCTAATTTAATTCTGAAATATTCTGATTTTCATGTCATTTTTTCTTCAGTTCATGCATTGTTCAAGATACGTTGTTTAATTTCTACTTATCTGTGGATTTTTTAGTTTACTTTCTGCTCTTCCTTGATTTCTGATTTTATTCTATTGTGAGCTGAAAAGATACTTTCTATGATTATACTGTCTTAAATTTGTTAAGAATCGTTTTATGGTATAATATATCCTGATGAATGTTTTATGTGCACTTGAAAAGAATGTATATTCTGCTACTGTTCGGTAGAGGATTTTATAGGTCTGGGTGTTCTGTAGCGATGTTCAAGACCTCTTTTTTCCTTATTGATCTTCTGTCTGGTTGTTCTACCCGTTATTGAAAGTAGGGTAGAAGTCTTTGACTAGCATTGCAGACTGTTTCTGCCTTCAATTTGTCAGTGTTTAGTAGCTCTGAAATTTGGTATCTGT